GCCCAACTGTCACCGGGGGCTCAGCAACTGGTTGGTAAACTGAGTCATGGCCTGGTATGTGCTCAGTCGTTTGAGGGAGGCTTCTCGGAGGAGGAGGCTGTCTAGAGAACACATCCTGATCTTGGACCAGGAGTGAGAGGGGTGGAAGAGTGTCCCAGCCAGAGGAAACAGTGTTGCAGAGGTGTGGAGCCGAACGGAGCCTTGGACAGTGTAGGATGTCCAGGTAGAGACTTATCCGGTCTGTGTCTAGGACAAGTATGAAACGAATCGATGCGGGGAAGTCGCAGCCTGATGAAGTCTGCGTCACAACCACATGCTACAAGGAAGCTAAGCACCTGATGGACTTCCCGTGGGGCCCGGGGAATGCAAGTGTGGCCTGGTTCTGAGATGATGTCTAGGGTCTCGGGGGGCGTGGCGTGGCGTGGGGCGTGGCGTGGCATGGGGCGTGGCATGGCATGGGGCGTGGCGGGGGCGTGGCGTTTGAACGAGACGATAGATTTAGAGCCGTGACCATCCCTTCAGAAGCCCTGTCCGCTCCTCCCGGAGGGCTGGCCATATTGCTGGGCCAAACCATCTGGATTTGCTTAACTTTTTTTTTTTTAAGCAATAAAATTTTTATAGAGAATTCCTGGCATGGTGATTATCTCCCCCTTCTGGGAGAGGGACAACCCTGTAGGAAACCACTGAGAAATCACTGTCCTAAACCCCTGCTCAACCCCTTTAAATTGAGTGGGCTTCACCAGACAGGTTAGGTCTCATGTAGCCCAGGCTGGCCTCAAACTCCCTGTGTAGCCAAGGATGACCCTGAAGGCCTGATCTTTCTGATTGTTGGCTTCACAGGCCCTCTCTCCTTGCTGGTTTATGTTCCAGCATATTGACAAGGACCAGCAGGGACTCTCCTGAGAGAACCACATGAACCCCTTCACAGCCTCGCTTGAGTGAACAGCTATTGGGCATAAGTGAGCTAGTCTCAGAGGAGACCTCAAGCTACAGGTCAGGTCTGGGGCTACAAAGCTCCATCAGAGGGAAGGAAACTGGGTTTTCTCTGGCTTCCAGTATCTTCCGTGTGTGCACCTGGGGACTCATCTCCAGGCTGTTAGCTGGAAGGGGGTCGGGGTGAGCACCCAGTGTGACCTTGTCAGCAGCTGCTGGTGTCATGAGGAGCCCTGGGAACTCAGAGTCACACAGATTGGTAGCCATAGTCATGAAAAGGACTCGGGGCTGATCTAACCCGTCTTGAGGGTCTGGTGTGATGTGTGACTTCTGGCTTCTACACTGAGGTATCAGGGAAAGAGGCAGGGAAGTGCTGAAGGCAGAGGAGCCTGAGATCAAATCCCAAGTCTCATTCACCCGCTCAGTGAGGAGTGTGGTCCTGGAGCTCTCTGTGCCTCACTGCCCGGTAGTGACGGTGACTGTGTCGGAAGTCACCAGTGCTCACTCGAGCAGTTGTTCCAAGGGTTAAATGAGATGAGAGGTGTGGGCAGCTCCCAGCTGTGCACACCTTTGCCTGATAGTTTTATTACAGTGTTCTTATCAACAGAGTAATAGTCCACTTCCTGGCTTGTTCTCCTGGCCCAGGAAGGAATGGAAAGAGAGTGAGGGAAGAGACCTCCTGGGCAGAGTGGGAAACAGCCCTGGGCTGAGGCCAGAGGGAATCGAGGAGGAGGGAGAAGTTGTCCTTCACTCTGGAAAGGGATATATGTAGTGTGTCAACCTCCAGAGTCAAGACCTTGTTGGCCTTTCCTCTTTGGCTTTTTCTTTTCACTAGACCAAAAAATCTTTAAGGTGTATGCTCAATCCAGGTCTGGGAAGGAATGGTGCCACACATCCTCCACCCTGGGCTTGAGGTGGCCTGTTGGGGGAACGGGGGCTTCTCCTTTAGTACTGTAGATTTAGAGAGGGAGGCTCAGCTGCACAGGGAGCGACCATAGCTCTGTGCCGTGTCAGATTGGGTGTGTGTGGAATAACTGTTGAATGAATGAATGAATGAATGAATGAGTGACAAGTTCTTCCCTTCGTGAGACCCCTGGGCCCTCTGCCTCATGTCACACTGTGGTCGGCATCATCGGTTCCTTCCCGGTCCCCACAGGTCCCCTGTTTTGCAGATTTCCTTATGTAAGGAAGATACAGTTTGCTTTCAGGATGCCTGCGGCGTCCCCCGAGTTTCCTGGAGAGAATAGCATTTGCAGAAACAGCCCTCTGGGGGGACGCCTGTGCTGCCCCAGATTTCAGGAGTGACGCTTTTTATAGCCCCACTCCCAGAGCACGTGGTGACACTGAAAGCCAGACCAAGCAGCCAGCATCTGGCTCCCGGCTCTCTCCTGCTCTTGTCCCTCCAAAGGAGGCCGAAAGCTGAGATCCACGGTGTTTTCTGTGCAGTGAGGGTGACTCCAGCGCTTACAGCTTTGTGACACTGGACCGGCCATGTCCGTCCCTTCTCCCTGCCTCGTGCTATCCATCTGTAAAATGGGATAGAGCTTCCTGCATTGTTGGCAGGAGCAGATGAGGTGTAACAGAGACACACAGTTCAGTGACAGTGAGGCAGTATGATGGTGTGTGATATAATTTGATGATGTAATGGCTTAACACTATGAGGTCATATGGTATTGCATTACAGTGATATCATCATCCTGCCTGTGACATCATACATGGTGTGGGACAGGGTGCACTGGTGTTTGTACACCAGTGCAGCTGGTGCTTGGGCGACAGTATTGACGGGGTGGGGTGGCAGCGTGGAGTCCACTGGGCCTGGTGTCCATGTGCAGAGACATTGGGGGACTGTGGTGGTGGCTATCTCGGAGGCCGGGCCATAGACTTGAGCAGTGACATAGTTGGGGACACACAGGTGTCTGGTGAGCTCTGCCCCCACCATGGCCCCAGGCTGGTCTCCCTGTTGACAGGGGACCTGGGTTCTGAGTTCTTCGCTGGCTGGTCACTGAGGTATATGGTCACCCTTTGTATAACTCTGAGCCAGACTGTTCTAGGGATGGTACACTGGACCCATGGGCAAAAGACCAAGTGCGCCCTCTAGATGTGGGGACAGGAAGGGGTCAACCAATCACATCCATGACAAGGAAACACTTGGTGGTTTCATCTGTGAAAGAAATCCGAGAGGTTTAGTTACTTTCTCAGTGGCTAATTAAAGCCAGTTGCAGACTGTGACTTGATTCAGCAAGTCCAGTGCAGGGCAGGAGGCTGGGCACGGCCCGTGGAGCCATTACTTAGTACTGGGAAACAATGAAACAGTCCGTGAACAAAATAAAGAATACTTTAAATGAGTACTTTTTTTTAAAAAAAAGTCATTTTTAAAAGTCAAAGCAAAATACCATGAAGAATACAGAATCAATATCGGAAAGGCAGTGTCCACATGATGGAGTTCTCCTCCTCCTCTGGATCCAGATACCCCATTCTCCCCAGCCCATCTGCCCCTTTCGGCTGAGCACCCGGCTTCTTGTGTCCCACTTGGACACTTTATGATGGCTATGTTTTTAACATCAGCCCCTGTGCGTTCTTCCTTCCGAGGTGGATTGTGAACGTCCGTCATGAACTGTGGGGGTCAACAGTCACACACCCGCCGCCTCCCTAATTCCAAACACTTTCAAGTCATTTTAAATGATGCCCGGGACAGGGGAGGAGCTATCATCTTCATAAAACCTGTGGGTCGGAGGTGTTTTCAAAGCAGATGGCACCTGCCCGTCCCAACCTGGTCCCCAGCTTCAGCGTGTCTGTCTGTCCCCACAGGGCAGTATTTCATCTGGGGTGTTTAGCTTTCATAAGAAAGATTATGGATGTCGCACCCTTCCTGCAGCCTTTCTGGCAGTAGCTGTGATCACTTTAGATGTGTCTCCTGCCTCTCCCGACCCCCCTTCCCTCCGAAGGCTGGAATGGTCCTGATCTCTGCGTCCAGATAGCCTGTCACACCTGGGCCCGATCCCGGTTGTCAGAAGGTTCCTGGGGTGCCATCTCTGGAGGGCCTGCCCATCCTTTCCTATCTTTGGTCTGTCCCTGGTTACCTGGGAAGTCTGTGAAGTGGCCTGAGCTGGAATTTGCTGTGAGTGGCTGATTGTGGCTGTAGCCGCCTTTGAAGGCCAGGGAAGGAGCCAGGCACAGGTAGAGAAGGGGACTGGCCCTCCCCTGGCATGGTTCTTCATCTGCTTGCTGGCATGCATGCTGGGGTGACATCTTACCTGCTGGACACACTGTCCGACCTCAGTCAGAGGCCCTCCCTCCATTGTGAGCCAACCTGTCTTCGTCTCCACAGTACCCTGTGGAACTGGCTTGCCTCAGGACATTTACACTTATTGTGATCAGTAGACTGAAGCCAGCTTGGCTGAGTGACCTTTTATCTCTCGATGACTCTAGTCAGGAAACTGACCATAGTTTTTGTCTTCTTCGTCTGACTGAGGGCAGGTACCTGCCTCCATCCCATGGCCAGCCATGGTGCTGGCTTTTAGCTGGACCCCTAGTCTCTTCCCTGTGGGCTTCTCCACCTGAGCATCCAACATGGCTGCTCTTTACATGCCCTGATGCATTTTGGGAAGGGTACTGGGATTCCTAGGGGCCTCTGGGAGGCAGCCTCAGTTGTCTGGGCCTCGGTCTCCCCTTTTCATGGAATTCCCTTGAGCATATATCAGGCTCAGGTGCTGTCAGTCAGCAGCTCTGTTACATCCCTGTCACCCTCCACAGCCCAGGGCCCCGGGGCAGAGGTGCGTTCACTCTCACTGTTAACTGAACGAGATGCCTGGACCACAGGGTCTTGGAATGAGGAGGAGGAAGAGGAGGCAGTAGCCTGTACACACTGTCTGTCACAGGGGCCTTCAAGATAACCTTACTTTGGCAAGTCTGGTGTCGGGAGAGCAAATATTTCCTCAGGACAGAGGTGAGGGGGCGGTACAGCGATCATCCCAGGTGGTTGGGCTGATGTGGATGTCAACCTTGGATATGGCCTGGTATTTCGAAAAGTCAATATTTTCGAGGCCTCGCAGTGGGTGGGTGGGGCAGGGTCAGGCCCGCACACAGCCTTGGGGAGGGGGCATTTCCAAGAGTACCTTTCGTTCTTGCTGTGTGACCTTGGACATGTGAATCCAGCTCCCTGAGCTGGTATTTCTTCACCTGTAGAAGGAAGAGAGGGGTGGGGGTGTTAGATCCCGGCTGGAAGGTCCAGAATCCCACTGTGCTGATGCCCCTCCCTGTCCAGTGCACACCCTCTTCTCTCTTATCACCCCAGCCCCCACAAGCCCCAGCCCTTAAGGGTTAAACACAGTGAGCTCATGTGATCCCCGGTACACATGAATCATCCCCATGGCTCCGTGTGCCCAGCCTAGGGAAAGGGGCAGATGCTATGCCCCCAAGTTGCCATGGCAACCGTGCTTGTACCAAAATGCAGGCACCTCAGCCCCAGACCCACCCGTGAGGGAAGCTCAGGGCGAGTCACCTGCATCCTCCATCCTCCGGGAGAAGCAGCAGGGACTGCTGAGCGGATAAGAGGGGGTAGGAGCTGGTGGGGGAGGCTTAGCCCGGAGCTCGGAGCTCGGCAGGGAGAGGAAACCGAAGGGCGCTGCCGCCGCCGGGAGAGGGAGACAGACTGACAGCCACAGGTTCTCAGACTCCACCTGAAGGCCCTGAGGCTGGAGCGGCAGGGGCGCCTCCACCTCCCGGGGGCAGCCGCGCCTCCCACGCACATGCCCCTACACGCGCGCACTCCGGTTCGCACTCACCCGCACGCCCGGCAGCCGCGTCTCTGCACGGTGCTGCCCGGGGTGGGTAGGCAGTCTGGCACATGAAGTCCCCGAGGGACAGCGAGCGAGCGAGTTGAGACTTAGGGGAAAAAAAAAACACAAAAAACTGGGGCTGACGCCAGCTCCCTGGGCGGCCACCTCCCGAGAGGCCCCTCCTGCATTCCTGGGCTGCTCGCCCCTCGCCAAGACAGGGGGCTGATGTCATTCCGGGCTGCCGGGCCAGGGGACCCGGGCTGGGTGACTGCCTCTCCGGAAGTGAGCGCGCTGCCTGCTGGCCGGCAGGTTCGGCTCTGGGTTTGGAGCCTCCAGCCTGAGTTCAGGTGAGAAGAGCCCGGAGGGAGAGCGGGACAGCGGTGGGCGGTGGCTCCCAGGTGTGCACGGGAGTTCTCCCTGCATGGACGGAAGTGAGTTCGGGGTGCCAGCCCCCTCGCCCGGCTCCTCGCCGCCACCTGCTCCTTGAATTCATCAGGGTTGGCCCTGGGGACTAGAACTGGACGTCCTGGTTGGTTGACTCGAGGCTCCTGCTGGTGACCCCCTGCTGACCCGTCACCGTCCCTATTTTGTGACCCGCGCGGATGCCTGTCGGGCGATGTTTACTTTACTTGGGCTGATGTGCTCTGCCGGGCTTTCCATCGGAGCCCAGAACTGCTTCCCAAGGACGGTCGCCGCCGACAGAAGGACCAGGACCCTGGCAGTGCTGGCCTCCTAACTGCTTCCGCCTGCCCCCTCCTCCAGGCTGGCCCCATGGATTACCTGGGTGACAAGCTTTCGGTGGCCCAGACACATATGACTCAGTGGGTTGGCACGGTGAGGCGGTCCTTCCAAGAGGCCCTCCACTTGGTGACGGCCACGGTGGGCACCGAGCGGAGCGGGGAGTCCGCTGGTCGCACCCCGTTCAAGCGCACCTCCTCCTTCAGACATCTGGCTTCGAGGAGCCGAGAGTCCTTCCGCCGCTTCTCCGCACGCAGCCAGCAGAGGTTCTCATCCCTCAGGAAGAGACAGCCGGACTCCGAGACCCCTGATCTTGTAAGGTTGGGGATGTGTGTGGTTTAAAATAGCAGGGCAACGCTCGGACTCCCGGGAGGGGGCTGACTCCAGGCTGCCTCAGGGAACGACTTTTCCTGTCAGTGAGGGTGGCTCTTGGGATACCGAGGGGGAAGTAGGCTGGGCTGGCTGCTCTGCAGGTGCAGAACCCCCTCCTTGAAGCCGGTGGGGAATGGACTCCCGGCTCCTTCTCTGTGAGCAGGGCTGAGCGGGGACACTGCCGCCCCCACCGCATGCCGGCATCATCGCTATTTTTAGGGAAGCTTACTTGACACCTGCTCCTTCTCCTCTTGCCCCCCATGGTGACCAAGTGGTCTTGTCACTGCGTGTTGAATTAAGTCTCGCTTGTCACTGTTCAAAAGTGAGACACTGAGTGATTTCCAAGGGGAGGAGCTATAGGGGACCAGGTGGCAGGTGGCTTGTCCCACTGTCCAGGAAGCTCAGGCTTGTTTGAGGAGCCCTTCCATGGTGGACCGTAGGACCAGCTTTCCGGGTTCTATGCTGTGTCTCTTAAGGGCTGGGAGACCAGGGAACAGAATCTGGGCAAGATATCAGGTGGGCCTGGAATGGTGGCTGCGTGGGCATACGGGGCAAGGTGTGGGAAGTCTGGCCAAGAGAGAGAAGCAGGAAGAACGCTTCCCTGCCCAATTCTTGGCAGAGGGTTTCCGGGACCTCTAATGACTTCGGGGACACTCACGTCACCAAGCAGAACCGAGCTTAGCTGCAGTGCCCGGTGGTGTCTTCAGATAGCTGGCCTCTGTCCCTGGATGAGTTGTCCCAGTTCTCAGGGGCGTACAAGGCCAGGCATGGGTTCAGTCAGCCCTTTTTGTCCCCAGAGCCAGTGTGGTTATGTGACAGTGTTGGGCAAGAAACTCTGGGCCAACCCTCTGCGAGCTCACAATTGCCCTCAGAGCTATGGGGACTCGGCAGGGCACTGCTGGCCTGAGTGACTGAGTCATTAGGCAGGGGCTCACCCAGGCCAGGAGCTGTGAGGCTGGTCAGGGGTGCATCCTTGTGTGGGAGTCTGCAGTCCTTTGGGGCTTGAGTTCACAAGATAGAGGCCCACCCATTCTCAGGAGGAAGAGATCTGTCTCCTTCTGCCCCATCTGTTCCTCTGTGCTCCGTTCAGTTCCCCAGGATCCTCTCCAGGATTGCTGGCTCTGTTCCCTGCCCTCCGCCCCCAGCCCTTCACATGCTGTGTGACTTTGGATGCTACCCTAAGTCTCTGTGCCTCTGTTCATGTGGGGTGTGTTTACAGTGACAGGCCAGCACCTCAGACAGACAAGTGAGTGACTTGACAGTCATGGGGGCACCCGGCAGTGTAAATACATCCTGAATTAATGTGGGCTTCCAGGTCTTCCCACTTCCGCTTGGCCTTGGCTCTGCGGTGGGCAGAGCTGGCGTTGGCTCGATCAATTCTTCCTAGATCAGACGAGATTGGGCGCGTTCAGGGTGGTATGACCGCAGACGGCTCAACCAATTCTTAAGTCTCAGTTTCCTCCTCTGTCCGGTCAGGGGACCGTACGCTTGTTCTGAGATGCTGTCAGCACCCTGCTGGCACATAGTGGGTATACACTTGTAAGTCTGTCAGGTGCCAAGATGTCCTACTCTGTGTGATGGGGATTGCTGTAGCTTCTCCTGTGTGTGGTTGGATACGAGCCTGCCTCTTCCCAGCTGAGTTACTTCGGGTAACCAGGGACCAGCGGCCTTTTGTCCTCTCTATGCCTTTGTCTTCCCCTCTGAGAAATGGGATGCTTGGCGGACAAGGAGCTCCGCCAAGTGGTTGGGTGTAACCCCTGGATTCCGTATGGTTTGTGTGTGACAGACAAGCCCTCTCTCTAAAACCATGCCTTCAGAGGCTTCCAACGAAGTGGAGAATCTGCACACACCCCTTTCAATCAGAACGTAAATATTTGTCTTCCGGGTGGGAGCTTCCTAAAGCAGCTATGCATGCAGGCAGGAGGGGGTGGGGTGGCAGGCAATCGTCCCCCTCAGTTCCGTTCATCCAGAAAGGGGCCTCTGGCTGTGTCTATTGGAGGATCTGTGGCAGCCCGGCTGGAAAGATCTCAAGCCAGCCTTGAAGTCATTGGCTGATGGCGGCCTCTAGCTGTCCCAGATAAGAAAGAAGGAAAATAAGACACAGTACTTTGTCCAGGCCTCGGGAGGCAGCAAGGGTCACTGTGCAGAGAAAAGCCAGGCACGTTAGAGGTCTAGAGACCTGGGGGTGAGAGGGGCACAACGGGGACTTGGGGGACACAGAAGTACACAGAAGTGTGTCCGTGTCAGTAGGCTTGGGCGTGAGGAAGAATGAGGTGTGTGTGTGTGGGGGTATGCATGTGTCTCTGTATGTTTGTGTGTATCTTTGTGTGTGTGCTCGAATATGTGTCTCTGTGTATGTGTGTGTGCCTGTGAGTGTGTTTGTGTATGTGTATCTGTGTGTGTGTATGTGAGAGAGTGTGAGCGTGTGTGTATATCTTGTGTATATCTGTCTGTGAGTGTATTTATGTTTGTGTCTCTGTGTGCATATGTGTGAGAGTGTGGGTCTCTGTGTGTGTCTAGATGAGTATTGTGTGTGTCTGTGTGTTCCTATATATCTTTGTGTGTGTGCATGTGTGTACATGTGTCTGTAAGTGTGTGTCTATGTGTGTGTTCGTGTGTGTATCTCTGTGTGCATATGTGTGAGAGTGTGTGTCTAGATGAGTATTGTATGTGTGTATCTGTGTGTTCCTGTGTGTATCTTTGTGTGTGTGCATATGTGTGTCTGTGTGTATATGTGTGAGTGTGTATGTGTCTGTATGAGTGTGTGTGCATGTGTGTGTGAAAGAGTGTGTCTGTGTGTGAATGTGTGTGTATGTGTATCTCTGTGTACATGTGTGTATGTGAGAGTGTGTCTGTGAGTATGTGTGTATGTGTGTGTCTGTGTGTGTCTATGAATATGTGTCTCTCTGTGTGTATGTGTGTGAGTTTTTGTGTCTGAGTGTGTGTGTGTGTGTGTGTGTGTGTGTGTGTGTGTGTGTGGTGGAGGGAGGCTGGCTAAGTGGCTTTAGCCAAGTCCTGTCGACCCTTCCTGTCTTGCCATTCCCATCTGTGAACTGGGCCCCTTGTCTCTTCTCTGGTAGATGATTCGAGTTCACCTCATGTTTTAAGAATCTCCTTCCTAGCTATGAGGATGGGTTCTGGACCCCTCATGGGCACCAAAACCAGAGATGCTCAGATCCATACGGAGGCTGGCACAGCATTGCAGGCTGTCAGTGTTGTGTAGGATGGACACACATGTCTCCTGGGGGCCACTGTCCTGTTAGCACAGCTGGCCCTCCCCGTCCAGTGCAGTCCATCCAGCAGCTCTAGGGCTAGGTCATCGCCCTGCCTCACCTGGCTCAGGAAGCTGTGACTTCTCACCTTGTGGCCTGGCCCCGCTTCCCTTCCACCCCCTCAGTCATGACCTCTGCCCTGGAGTGAACTGAGGCCCAAGGAGAATGAGTGACTGGGACTTAGGACACGGGAAGCCCGGCGTCCTGTCCTGGGCGAGTTGGGATGAGCATGCACTAGAAAATGAAGAGACCGTATCCTGTCCCCAGTCATCCCCGACACCTGAGTGATCTCTGTCCCTCAGGGCCACCAGAAACAGGCATAGGAAGCAAGCACACCACAAGTGACTGGGCTGTCAGCGCTCCAAAGGAAGTGAGTGAGAAGGCGGCTCAGGGGCAGCAGGAGCAGTGGAGGGAGTCTCAGGGGATGCTAAACCCACCAAGGAAGGCCCGAGATGGAGCGCTGAAAGATAGGCTGAGGCTGGTGTGCAAGAAGAGCCCCAGAAGCCAGGGAGGCTGGCTCAGTGAGTGGTACAGGGTAGTCATGGTGACAGAGCTTGGCCATGCAGGGCTGGGAACACTGGTTGAATTTCGGACCAGAAAGTGATGTCGTCATTGTGGGCCTGTGCAGAATGTTGGGTGAGGAAAGGATTGTTTATTGAGTACCTACTGTGTTCCCAACATGGTTGTCGCATGTTCTACTCTACTGTGTGTCTTCTGTGTATCAGATACAGACACATCACATCTCCTAAGCACCTACTATGTGCCTTCTGTGCACCAGGTACAGATACATTGCATCTCCGAAGCATCCACTATGGGCCTTCTGTGCACCAGGTACAGATACATTGCATCTCCTAAGCACCTACTATGTGCCAGGCACTTTCTGTATTTCTCCTGGATGCCAACCCTGAAGCGAGGTCTCAGTTCAGCCATGTGGCCCCTCCTCCCTCTCCCAGAGCCCCCTGGTCAGGTATCCAGGCTTCCAGCTGCACCCCAGGCCTGGCATGATGTCACTTGTTCATGGGCGGTAGGCAGGACAGACAGTTTTCTTCTGGCGAGGCCCCTCCCAAGCTCAGGTCCTCTTCATCCTGGCGGCAGAATGATGTCACTTCGAAGAGAACAATGGTCCCTTTATGGCCCCTGAGGGGCCCAAGGCTGGGTCGCAGAGCAGGTGCCTCTGGAGTTACAGGCAGGGTAGGGACAAAAGACTTGGCTGCTCCCCAGGGAGCCACTGGGCTCCTGCTGATCCCTCTGCCCCCAAAGCGGGGCGTATTCATTTTCCATGTGGAAAATACAGGAACGTGAGAAAACACAAAACTCGGCTCACACGCTCTCCCAAGGATGAAATCCACTTGGCTTCTGAGTTGCTTCCTTCCTCTTTTTCCTTTCCAAAACAAACCCGCAGCCTCCGTCTCCTCTCAGAGAAATATAGGCAGTTCAAGAGAGCAGGAGCTGTGGCAGGTTCCAGGTGCCACAGCGCCCTGCTGTGTTCCTGAGTTCCAGTCCCTGTCCTCTGTCTGGACACTTGGGCATCTGTGGGAAGGCCGCAGAGGGTGGCCTGCGGACACTCTGGATTATGTCCCAGGCCCCAGGGCTCTCACTTCCTGTCTACTTCTGCCGCTCTACAGATGAGATGTTTTGTACAGACAAAAGCCTGTTGCTTCCTCCACGGGAAGCAAGTCAAGTCAGGCAGGAAGTCTGGAATGTTCCCCTTCGCTGGGAGCGTTGTGTTGGGGTAGCCTGAGGAAGCCGTGGGCCCGGCTCACAGCCAGGTCACCTCAGTGCTGCACGGGCCTCAGTCGGTCCCGAAGGGCTGCTCATTCCTGTGGTGTAAACACTGCGGTGTCCTCAGACGCATGCCCTCAAGCCACAGCCGCTTGAAGCTGGCTGGGGGAGTGTTCTGGTCTGTGGTGTTTTCACCGTACACACACAGACGTAAATGATAACAAGATGATAGATTTCTAGCTATGGCGGCTCGCTCTTTTAATCCTACTACTAAAGAGGTGGATCTAGAAGTTCAGGGTTATCCTTGGCTATATAGAGAGTTCAGGGCTAACCTGGGCTATGGAACACTCTGCTTCAAAGAGCCAAAAACAAAGGTTAGGATTTTAGCAGTTCCCCTACCATTAGGGCTCTCAGTGGGCAAAACCTCAGCTACATAGCGAGCCCCTGTCAGGAACAAGAGCAAACCATCACCTTCTCCAGGAATTTAACTCAATTGTAAGTTTTTAATCTAATTTTTAGCAGTGGTGCGGGTAGGGGTTAAGTCTGGACTCGTGTGTCTGAGTCCTTGGGTGCCCTTGGTGGCACAATTTTGGGAGGCTGTGGAACCTATAGGGGATCTGAGCTGTCTGACAGAGCTGTCTGTCCCCTGGGTGTGAGGTGTGAGCCACTTTGGCCCTCCCACTCTTCCACCAGGACAGTCTGAAAGTGTGAGTTCTGGCAGGTCCTCTCAGAGGTCTTCCTCAGGTAACACACTATTCAGTCATTGTCTCCTAGGTTGTCCCCAGCCGCCTCTGGGGTGGGGACCCGGGGTCTGGGAGTTGAATTCTGGTTCTGGCTTCCCTCTGAGGTGCTGGGTAGATTTTGTGGTTTCTCTATGCCTCGGTTTACCCCCACTCCCCGAAGCTGTGGTAAAGATGACTTACATTCGGTCATGCACGAGGGATACACAGCACTGTGCCCTGTACGTAGTAGGGCTCCCCAAAGGGGTTGCTGCTGTCGTGACTGACGCTGCCATGTTGTCACAGAGCAGCCAGACACTGGCAGGCACCTGTGCCCGTGCTTACTGGTGTCCTGTTACACCAGTGTCAAGGCTGAGGTGAGCTCTTCTGCAGATGCTCCTCTGTCTTAGAGCAGTTACTTTGTAGAAGTGGCTGTCATGCCCAGAGGATCCCGGAGCAGCCTTGTAGAGAGGCCCACAGGGCAGGAATTGGAAGCCCCATGTCACCTGTCACTGGGGGAACTGGCTTTTCCAAGTCTGGGAGGGTACACCTGAAAGCAAGTCCCCAGACTGCAGGGGAGACTTGGAGTTGGCCGACTTCTGGTCTCCAGCCTTGTGAGAAACTCTGAAGCAGTCACTCATCAGATGCCCTCCTTGATCCGTAGCTCTGGAAACAGTGTGAGAGCAAGAATGGTTGTTGAGGCTCTTTGTTACACAGCACTAGGTGACAGATACATACTTCTCACTGAGACCCTTGGGAATCGTTAAGGAACCTACCCAGGGTCTGGTTTAGTGGATGCTTTTATCTCTTGGGGCTTCTTGCCTATGAAGAAGGCTGTGTCCGCAGCCTGTATTCAGGATCGCAGAGGCTCTGAGCCAGCCATCCCTTTGGGGGTTAGTGGTTGCTTGTATCCAATTGTATCCAAAGCGTTTGGCTTCCGATCCTCCTGTCTTCCTGTCTTCATGTGTGGGAGGCACCGTGAGGCACGGTGAACTCCACACACAGTGGCTTGTCCCTAGGCAAGGACTCCTGTCCCACTGCCCTGCCCCTGGAAAGGAAGACCCTGCATCGGATGTTACAAAGAACTGGAAATTGGTGAAGGCTGAGCTGGGGTGGGGTGTGGCTCCGTGGTGTGAGTACTTGCCTAGATGAACCCCAAGCTCTGAGTTTGATCCCCAGTACTGCACAGACTGAGTGTGGTATCACACACCCGTAATCCTATGTGGGAGAGAGGAAGCCGAAGTGTCAGGAGTTCAGGGTCATTCTTGGCTATAATGAATTTAGGGCTAACCTGGGATACCTGAGGAACCCCACCACCACCACCAAAAATAGAAAGGGAAAAGGACAAAGTTTGTGAAGTTTCTTCTGAACCAGCCATCCCTTTAGGGGTAAGCGGTAACCTGATGCTCAGGCTGGAGGCTTGTATCCAATTGTATCCAAAGTTTCCTCTGTCTTCGAATAATTGTCCTTGTCGTAGTCTTTCTCCTCCTCCTCCTCCTCCTCCTCCTCCTCCTCCTCCTCCTCCTCCTCCTCTCCTTTTCTTTTTCTTCTCTCCCTCCCCCTCCCTTTCCCCTTCTTCCTCTTTCTCTTTTCCTTTTCTTTCTTCTCCTCTCCCCTCCTCCTCCTCCTCCTCTTCCTCCTCCTCTTCCTCCTCCTCTTCCTCCTCTTCCTCAGCTTACTGACCCTGGGCAAAGCCATACTTTTTGCCTGACTTTTAGCTAAAGAACCTGATTCCTGCAGAGCCATGATGTCCAACCTCGAGCACATCAGGATAATGACATGCTGGTTCCAGAGCCCCCAGAGAGAGCAGGGGACTTAGCCAAAGTCACGCAGCAAGGAGTGTGGCTTTTATCATTATTCCAGGCCACCCCCATGTCACACGGGAAGTCGACAAACCCAACCCTTTCCACACCCCCCCACTGCAAAGGTCTTTCACGGTCTGTGAGCACCCCTCCCTTCTTTGGTCTGTGGGGCTTCACATGCAAGTACTTGCCTTATGCCAAAGTGAGTAACTCCCTGGCAGCTCCTGCCCTGTCTCTCAGCAGCTCTTCCGTGGGGCCTCCAGGGCACACCTGCGATTCCACATCTACTCAGTGAGTAGCCGAGAGAGAGCCTGTTCTTTTCGTCAAGGTATTTGCCTTTTACTCTGAAGAGAGAACTGGGTGGGTACAGGACCGTGTAGAGGCAGCTGCTCTCTCCACCCTCAGCAGATGTGTTTTTGGCAGGAAGAGCGAAGAAGGTCCTGGAACCTCTGGTGCTGGGTTTGAAGAGACTCCCACTTTGTGTTGAGTAAATGGCTTTATTATCCATCAAGGTCTGAAGCCCCAGGAGCCAGAATAAACACTGCCCAGGGCAGCAGCTTGGCCAGTTCTTCCTTGATGGACTTGGGGCTGTCCATGATCGTGGCTAGCCATTGCAGTCCAATGAGCCTCTCAGGGGTTTCTGCTTGGGCAGCCTTGTAGTCCTCTGCGTGAGGGGCCGCTGATGAAAGGCGTTTGCTGCCTTGGGGAAGCCTGGGGAAGCCGTGAGAGGCGTTGCTCAGTGGAGCCATCTCGACTCTACCCCTCTCCCAGCCACAGTGCTGGCTCTGGGGTTCGTTTTCCCACCTGTAGCTGGATGCTCTGGGGTGACCTTTAAGAGAATCCTCAGTGTGCCACCTCAGATTCTGATCCCCTGCTTTGCTTGTCTGTGGGCTTGAGCCGGATCCTGAGTGAGCCTCAGTTTCCCCATCTGTAAAGGGAACCTTGGTTCCCAGTGGGAGTTGGAGCTGCCTGCATGGAACTGGATGGGGTGTAT